CTTAATATATTATATGTTGAAGACAAAAAGAAAGTCACCGCGTTAATAGACCTCATAAATTGTATGTAAAAACAGAAAAATATAATAGATCTAGTTCATTGATATTTTAAATACAATAAATATAGATCAATTTTATTATATCCTTGTATATACAACTTTTATCGCGTATATATAAATATTAAAAATAACGTCGAACGAAATATATGAATATGTTTTATTACAATAAAAAACCGGCAAATAATCGATCGACCATTACCATATCTTTTTACATTTTTCTACGTAACCATGCAATATTTGCTGTTCCATGTTGATGATACAATAAAGAAATACGCAACGCATGAGTATATACTGTTGTTTTATGAATTTCGTACTTTTATACGCAAAAATGTAACATTTGTCCGTCGAACATGAAACAAAATTATTGTATGATACAAACAAATGCATCAAATGGATATCCGTCTTAAAATAAATCCAACTTATCAAATGTTGGTATATAAAAAAAAACTGTATTATCGACCGAGTTAATACTTTCAATCGTTAAAATATAGATGGAGGAATATGAACTTTTCAACGAATTGGAGTTAACCTTTCTTTTATGTATTGAACCACAGTATATAATTTAGGTTTCTTGGTTGGAAGTACTTTCTATAAAGTACAAGTTGCATTTAAATGTATAGTAATACTAACATGAGATCAAATAGTAACGCGATACAAATTTTTTAATCAAATAATAACAATTAATAGTGTTTAATATCAATAGAAGTAATAATGGTCCGAAGCAGTGACAAGTAAGTACAATGAATTTAAAAGAAATATTGATTTAGAGGTTATATTACTGACGCTTTTAGTTTTATTTTTTAAGTTATTTTATATAACTTTCTTCCATATATGGTCATATATGTTGAATGAATATTATGATAACACTTATGAAAAATAAAACATTAAATTCTATTTAAATGTAATATTTAACTTTTTCCCTTTTTCTCTTTAATTTAAGTATTTATTTATTAAATTTTTTGTTTATATGTATTCCTAATTCTTAAAGTAGTTGATATTCTATATTTAATTATTTATTAAAATTATGCATATTTAGGGATAGACATCATAGAAGACGGTCTAGATCAAGATCAAGATCACGTACTGGTACACCAGAAAAGAAACGCAGACGTTCCAGGAGTAGAGACCGAGAAAGGGAAAGGGATAAGGGACGCCACAGGGAAAGAAGGAGTCGTTCAAGAGATAGGGACAGGGAAAGAAGTGATAGAAGAGACCGCTCAGACAGAGATAGAGATCGCGATAGGAGAGAGAAACGGTATTAGAAATATTAATATATGTTTATAAATATTTTGTTAATAATCAAGGAAAAGCTTTCACCTGTTTAGGCACGAGTACTGAAAGAAAATTTTAACTGTTATAAAAATGTATTAGAAAAATAATTCATTTATATTGACTGTTCTCGGTATACTAGTGGAGACAGTAAAGAAAAGCGTCTTACAGGCTCAAAGTCTTCACGCTCGGGTAAAGAGCGATCCAACAGATCTCGATCAAGGGATAGAAAGGAAAAGGAGAAAGGTGAAACTGAAGAATTACCATTCGATCATACAAAATTAGATAAGGTAATAACATTGTTAACAACTTTATATAACAATTTCTTATTTAGATTCACCGAATATACACTAACAAAGTTTCGTTGTTAAAACCTGATACATTTTGTATATAATTATTCATTTTCAGGAAGAGGAACAAAAACGACTGGAATTAGAAATGCAAAAGAGAAGAGAGAGGATAGAACGATGGCGTGCTGAAAGGAAGAAAAAGGAGTTAGAGGCAACTAAAAAAGATGGTAAGACATCTATTTTGGCAAATCTTCAATTGCCTATGAAAAAATGGTCCCTCGAGGATGACAGTGATGAAGAAACGCCTGTGGTTCAGAATAGCAATAAGGAAGTCAAAGAGGAAGGCGCTTTCAAAGAAGAAGTAGAAGAAACTAAAGAAGAGACCAAAGATGAAGAGGAAGAAGTTGACCCTCTTGATGCTTTCATGGCAGAGGTAAATGCAAAATAAGAATACTTGTCTCTAAAATTAAGAAAAATTATTCATTGTATTAAAATCTGTTTTTTTAGGTCCAAGAAGAAGTCAGGAAAGTAAATAAAATTGACAGTAAAACTCCAAAGAATACTAATAATGGTACAGGTCCTGGAAATCAACAAAGTGGTGGTGTTGTTATTGTTACGGGTGTAGCTAAAAAAAAAGTACAGAAACAAAAAGGAGAATTAATAGAACAAAATCAAGATGGTCTTGAGTACTCCAGCGAAGAGGAGGGAGAAAATCTTCACGAGACTGCGGCTGGAATTGCTAATAAACAAAAAAGAGAACTAGCTAAAGTAGATCATGCAACAACAGAGTATCAACCTTTTAGAAAATCATTTTATGTAGAAGTACCTGAAATTGGTAAGTTCTTAACAATACTTTCAAAGTCTTTAACAATTTTTTTACAAATGTTATAAATATGAATGATTTACCATTTTATTTATTTGATTTATTATTATTGACTTTATTTATATATATAATTTATTGTTAATAATAATAATTTATTTTATCGTTTTTTTTTTATTTCACTTTTGTACAAATCTGTAATATATTATATTACTTGTAATGCCGAAAGGCAATCAATAAACTATTACTTCTATTATTTATGGATAATAATTATAGCTAGGATGACATCAGAAGAAGTAGAAACTTATAAAGAAGAACTCGAAGGCATACGTGTAAAAGGTAAAGGATGTCCAAAACCAATTAAATCTTGGGCACATTGTGGTATAACTAAAAAAGAATTAGATGTTCTGAAAAAACTTGGATATGAAAAACCAACCCCTATCCAATGTCAAGCTATTCCAGCTATAATGTCTGGAAGGGATCTTATAGGAATTGCCAAAACTGGAAGTGGAAAGACATTAGCATTTTTATTACCAATGTTTCGTCACATCTTAGATCAACCACCATTAGCTGACGGAGATGGACCAATCGCATTAATAATGTCTCCGACTCGAGAGCTTTGTATGCAGATTGGACGAGACTCAAAAAAATTCACAAAATCTTTAGGTCTTTCGCATGTATGTGTGTACGGTGGTACTGGTATATCTGAACAAATAGCAGAATTAAAGAGGGGTGCAGAAATAATCGTTTGTACACCTGGAAGAATGATTGACATGTTAGCAGCAAATAGTGGAAGAGTTACTAATTTACGTAGAGTGACTTACGTTGTTCTTGATGAAGCTGACAGAATGTTCGACATGGGTTTTGAACCACAAGTAATGCGTATAATGGAAAATGTTAGACCAGATAGACAAACGGTTTTATTCAGTGCTACGTTTCCAAGACAAATGGAAGCACTTGCCAGAAGAATACTTACTAGACCTGTAGAGGTACAAGTTGGTGGTCGTTCCGTAGTTTGCAAAGACGTTGAACAGCATGTGGTGGTGTTAGAGGAAGATCAAAAGTTCTACAAACTTCTCGAAATTCTTGGGCATTATCAAGATAAAGGTTCTGCTATTGTATTTGTTGACAAACAAGAAAACGCGGATACACTTTTGAAAGATCTTATGAAAGCTTCCTATTCGTGCATGTCTTTACATGGAGGTATTGATCAATGTGACAGAGATTCAACGATTTTAGATTTTAAAGCTGGACGAACTAAATTACTTGTTGCCACGTCTGTTGCTGCCAGAGGATTAGATGTTAAACATCTTGTACTTGTTGTCAATTATGATTGTCCAAATCATTATGAAGATTATGTACACCGTTGTGGTAGAACTGGCAGAGCTGGAAATAAGGGGTAAGATTTTTTTTTTCTTTTATAAAAGCTTCAAATTTATTTACCGAGTATATTTATAAAAAAAATCAACATTATTTTGACCTTTTTTTTCAGATATGCATACACATTTATAACATCTGAACAAGAACGTTATGCAGGTGATATTTTACGTGCGCATGAATTGGCAGGGGTACCCGTTCCAGAACCTTTACGACAGTTATGGGAAGCCTATAAGGCTCGCCAGGCAGCAGATGGAAAGAAAGTACATACAGGAGGTGGTTTCAGTGGTAAAGGATTTAAGTTCGACGAATCGGAAGCAGCTTTAGCCAACGAGAAAAAGAAATTCCAGAAAGCAGCTCTTGGTCTGCAAGATTCCGACGACGAAGATATTGAAAATGATATTGATCAACAAATCGAAAGCATGCTTGCTCCTAAAAGAACGGTTCGCGAAATTGCAAGACCATCTGCTGCAAATATTGCAGTTCCTGGTCAACCAGTGACAAGTGCTACCGATAAATTAGAATTGGCTAGAAGACTTGCATCCAAGATCAACATTGCTAAAAATTTGGGTGCAGAAGCAAAAGGAGCTACCCAACAAGCAGCAGAAGCTATACTTAAAGGTGCTGGTCCTACAAATTTGATTACGGTAAGTTAACAAATTGATTTAAACGAAATAAAAAATTAACTGTTGCGTTATTTTTTTTTTTTAGGCAAAGACCGTTGCCGAACAATTGGCTGCTAAATTAAATACCAAACTCAATTATCAACCACGGGAAGAAGATCTCGTAGAAACCGACTCTGAAACTGGCGAACAAACCTTCCGAAAGTACGAAGAGGAATTAGAAATAAATGATTTCCCTCAGCAAGCAAGATGGCGTGTTACTAGCAAGGAAGCTTTAGCACAAATCTCTGAATATTCTGAAGCAGGTCTTACAGTTAGGGGAACTTACATTGCTCCTGGTAAAGCACCGCCAGAAGGCGAAAGAAAATTATATCTTGCAATTGAGTCAACCAGTGAATTAGCTGTTAGCAAAGCTAAGGCAGAAGTATCTCGGCTTATAAAAGAAGAATTAATTAAGTTGCAAGCATCTGGAGCCCATACTGCTTCACGAGGACGATATAAAGTTTTATAAATTACTTCAATACATTAACTGTTTATAAATATAATCTGGTGGATTGACTATGATTGAAGAACAAAAAGATTAGAAATTTTATTATACATACAGATAAAATCAAATATCCATACAAAGTTTGTGTGTATTTATCAATATAATAACAAATTATTCTTAATAACTTAATAAGTAACATTTATAATAATTTTATTGATCTAAACTGCCAGAAAGTGGTAAAAACAAAAACAAACAAGGACAATGCAAAGATTTTGTATATTTTGATTTTATGAAAATATAAAAATCATGTTGGGTATATTATATATTGAACACGAAATGAGTATCGAACATTTTTAAGAACGACTAAATGTCAGGTTACTTATTGTCTGGTAACTTAATTTAGAAACTGTTGTTTATGTACACTTAATATAGTACAACGCGATATCGGTCAAAAAATTCTCTGCATCATAGTAAACCGCGTTTTTGTACATTCTCTTTATCGCAATTCTATTTCTTTGGTAATACTAGAATTAAAAAACCATACATTCTATACCATAACGTATTATAAATATATATAGGCACTAGAAGAATCACAGACACAAGATTGACGTTGTCATATATGGCACCGTCACTAGGTAATGTAAATGCTTAGCACCTTGAACGATTCAAGAAAGGGATCAGAATCCGTCATTTACTTTTGTAAATTTACTAATGTAATCGAATCAGAAATATTTCAAACATATAGAATAAATATTCTACTATATTTCTAATGCATATGCAAAAGAAAATGATTAGAATTCCTTGTCTAATAAACCTTTCTAAGATCGTCTTCAGCTATAAATTTATAAGTAACATCATATCCTGTTCATTCGAAGGTACGTAAATCGTAACAGAAATTAATACAATTTTTCTTATTTTCTGTGTGTGCTTTTGTTATTTTCTAATCGCTCATGTAAAAATACTGAATATGATCGTGCACGAGATTATAGGAAACCAAACACGATTAACGTTAGCACTAGAAATATGATTATGTGCCAATTCTGCTCGAGTAAGCGATCCCAGAGGAACTTCTGCTGCAATTTTAGAACTTCTCTCCGTGATTCTAACAACAAGCTTTTCCATTTCCGCTACGCAAGCTCGTAATTGTAAAGACGAAGGTTTTTCAAGCACAGATTGTACTACAACGAAAATGTCACCCTCGAGAGTTACCATACCGCGAACTGCACATTGTGCTACTTGTACTTGTCGTCTTAATGCAGATAAAAGAGCATCCAACGTGACGAAGTCTTTATCAATTTCTTCGTCCATCACGTGATATATTTTATCCAACTGTAATCATCGAACATGAAATGATTATTTTAGAATCACTCAATGAAATTTTTGCTATATTCAAATTATTTGGATACCCACCTGTTTTTTTGAATAATATAATCTTGCAGCTCCGCCACATACAGGACAACAAGCACCAGGTGGAGTAACACCGATACAATTAGCCTCCTTCAAAGGTGGACATTGAACAATATCACCGCATCGAGGCTTAGCTTGATCACTTATCAAACCAACGGTGACACATGGACCATAATAATCTACAACAGTTTTCTCTGCCCAGGCAGCACATTCATTGATGTATATTTCACCGTCGATACCGCAAACCGGTCCCCGAAGACTGCAACTCTTCAAACAAGGAGATCTATAGCCAAGACTAGCCCCAGCTCGTATCATAGCACAAATCGAATGATGCTGACGGTTGTCTTTGTCGCAAACTGGACCACTAGTTTCTTCTCGAGGATTGCAATCTATTGGTACGCACTCGTATTGTTTACAAAATTTGTGAATCGATGTTAAACAAACTCTACGCCTTCTTACGCATTTATCTGTAACGTTACAAGGATTTGGAGAACATGGATCCCGGCTGGAACATCTTCCAAAGTCAACCTCGTTTGCGGTAAAACCAGCGCACTTAGCTAAACACGCCGATGCAAAAGTGTAGCCTGACTTTCCACAAACTGGTACATAATGAGCCGGACAATCGCATGGTAAAGAAGGTATCTTAATTTCAGTGCATGATTTTCTCGAGCAAGTAACTTCTCCCTCGAAACAACGACAAAGATTACACTCGAGATAAAAGTTCAATCTTGGTGGAATAAAACGATCTTGTACCCAACAGAATTCGAAATTGATGCAATTCAAGGTTTTACATTTCTCCAATCCTTGTAATGTGCATTGACATATCCTGAGACAACCATGTTGATCGTATCTTGGAATTTGAACCCACGAAAAAAGTGGTACAACTTGCTTCGATATCTCTCCCAGAGTGCAGCCAGGTACGCAACGATGAGTTTCACGTTCGTTTACGGTCAAAAGACATATTTGACCTTGAGGGCAAGGATTATTTTTACATGGTGTTGTAATATCGTCCTGCGGATTAACAACAGAATTGTCGTCCCGTGGATTCTCAAGAAAAGGCTTTAAAGAAACACATGGAGCATCTGGTCTTCCTGGTGAAAGCTTCGAACATAAAGTAGCAGCCGTGTGAGATCCTGTGATAGTAGACCAGTCTACACAACTAGCCATTAATTCCAAACAGTCCTCTCGACAGAGTCGTGTCTCGTGTATTCTTGCCTCACAAGGTCGTAATTGCAAAAGACATGCTGCAGCGCGTAAAGTTTCTGGTGGACAGGATGATGCTACTTGGACAGCAACGCCAAGTCCTCGAATGATACCACCGTGAGACCAATGATCTGCCTCCCACTTGGCAGCATCGTCTGCTGCAGCTGTGCACGTCCTGTTAAGAGAACAGGTATAGTTTGAAGTATGTAAATAAAGCAACTTCACATACTTGTATGTTAAATTATATGGTATGCTACCTGAACAGAGTAGTCGGTCTGTCGTTAAATCGTGCACAATAAGAAAGACCAGAGCATCCCATTTCACAAGAATTATCAGTTTCATCGAGACATCTTCGTAATTCGCTATCCAAGTTTGAAGAAAGACACTCGGAATCTAGTTGAGACCAAGCTGTCTCCCAATCGGCTTGAAATGCCCTCCAGCAAAGATTTTGACAACGTTGTCTAGTTGCTCTTGAACAACAGGAAAGTTTACCAGTGTCCAATGGTAAACGTATTGGTTTCGTTGGTGTTGACTTCAATACGCAACTCCACAACGGTGAATGAGGCAATATGGGACTGCACTTTTCTGCAAGAGCGTCCAAAATTTCCTGATCGGTCGTTGCTGTTTGAAGAATTTTCCGACATGTATCTGAACATGCCGCATTCGTCGCTTCGTCGCAACAATGCAAATCTACAAAAATGTGTAGAACAAAATTCACGTCTTATTATTGATTGTTAATTTTCCGCAAAACAATAAATTCAAATAAATACCATAGGTTTTTTTGAACGTAGGTATATGCATACAAATTTGACTTACATTGTTTAGGATCGTCGACGCGCTTAACTTCAGCTACGCTTTTAAGACACTTTGGTATTTGATGAAAACAACCCTTGCTACTATATAACTTCAAACTCGATCGTTTTCCAGGTTTGTGGAATAAATCCTTGCAAACTGATCTACACGTGTCATTGGAAACGGTACTGCAACAACGTTCTGCTTCTTCGCGTCTTTCCAAACAAGAAATGAGTTCCGGCTCGTCGCTAAGTCTACATGATTCACTCAAGTTACTTCTGGATCCTGACAGGGCACAAGTCGACTGACATATTGGATTTTGTGCCAAATGACAACATCTTCTACCTGTCCAATTTTCATTTTTCTTCACTTCTACGAATTTCGTCGATCAATTAATTAGTTTCGAAACTCGATTATCAAGTTTTAATGCGATACTTACCCTCAAGGGTGGAGTTAACGCAGGACCAAAAATCTATCTAAAATTATATAAAATTAAAAACAAATGTATATGTCTTCATTTATAACTTTTTATATGATTTATTATAAAATCAAATAATTTTTCTTACCAACTCGGCGGAACAGAATTCTAAGAAACGTGAAGTTGCATTTTCTCTTGCTTCACGGTCTGCTCCCAAAGTTACCAATGGAATCTGTAAATAGAAAATCAAATATGAAATGAAATAATTCGTAAAATATGAATTTAATAAATGTGTTTTTTTTTTATATAAATATTAACCATACATCAATATATAAAATAGAATGCATAAAACTTATTTTTATACATCGATATAGTGTGCAATTAAGTCTGCATCTTTTACGAGCATATCTATTGGAATTTTTCAAAATCTCAAAATGCAGAGTAGCACATTAGGTGGCATTAAGAATCAAGGACGTAAACGTTCTGCGCTCACCACAATTTCCTGTTAGTCAACACTGAATGCCAATAGACCTGGTGGATATCGACCGTTTGCCCATTTGACACTCATTCCTGATTCAATCGGTGTCCTATGCGAGGACATACGGGGTCAGTTTGTATTTTCATCACGCATTCAAGTTACGACCACCTATCAACGCGTGGTGGGTCCTGAGACTCGTCGAGTTAGACAGGTCAGAGGTTGTAGATTGTGTAAATTTATGATGTATGTATGTATATACCTACACGATGATTATATTTTTTTACTATACAATTTTTCTTTCCTTTATTATTATAAAAGATAAAGAAATTTTTAATTCTTTTTTTTCTTTGATCACAAAAATTGATGGCACAAAATTAAATATATATAAAATTAAACATCTTCGACCAAACGTCTTCGTATACTATCTCTCGCTACGATCTTGAAACTTAAGGACGAAGAACTGCAAAGGCAATGTAGATACGTATTTATGTCTCGGTATATTCTGGGAGGAATGTAAAGATGGACCGCGACGCCATTTTCCGACGAGCGTCTTTTTTATTCGCAAATTTTCTACGCCTCTCTTGTCGAGTATTAATTCTCTATGTATGATATTTACTTCAAGAATTAAAAAAGGAATCATGAAATAATAATAATAAAAAAAGAAAAAAAAACATTAACTTCATATCTAAATGATTTTTAATATTCACAAACAAAATAATAATATTTATTTATAAACATATATATATCTCTGTAAAATTCTGAAAAAAGGATACTTTAGTTCTATAGATGATTTACATGAATAGTTTTTCTTTCTATATTATATTATACCTATAATATACCTATGCACGTAGGTAGATGTATGTTTTAAATGTGCTTTCAGACAGTTCGAACGCGTAAAACTTAACGACCAGTTTTACAACGTAGCACAGGGAACGAAAATATTGTTCCAGACAAGAAAATAAAGAAAAGACAACCACAACGTCTCGCCCTATTGCATGGCACTAAAAATCTTTAAAGTATCTTACGTGTAGGAAGACAGGGGAAAAAGTATCGACCCTTTTGGTAGTATCTTCCTCCTTCTATCTCAAATATGTCGCGTAATTCGAGCTTCCGCCGTGATTTCCGGTTATCTCGTTTTCAGATAAACGAAAGAGAAGTGCAGGAGTAAACCGATCCGAAGACATCCTTCCTATTCCAAAATTTCGGTCTTTACGTTGTTCTTTTCCTATCTTCTGTTTGTGACTCACGTTTCAAACATCGTAAAAATCTCCAGCCTAGTTAATATGCAATAAATAACAAACAGAACATGATTTACACATCCGACTATTTTTTCTTGATGACCATAGACTATCGTAGAACGAACGTCTCTTAACATTGCGTCTCGATATCTTCAGAATAAAGATCAACAATAAAAAAAAAATAAAAATCAATTAGACAGAATAATAAGAAACAATATTAAAGTAACGATGATAAGATAGATGCAAAGAATAAATGATCGGAAGAAATGGTAAATGTAAACTTAATTAACGATTTATTAGGTTGTCTCTGGAAAATTATTGTCAGTAAAAAGAATTAAATTTATTTTATTCTTTTTACTTTTATTATATTTTTGTCTATCATTGCCCATTTAATATGCATTTTTAAATATTTATCTCTATTATATATATGACTTACTGTAAATTTTAAATAATTGATATTTGCTTGTAATGAGAAACTTTGAAATTCTTATACATACATAGAAACTTATTTTAGAATTATTAAACTTTCAAATTATTATAAATTGTATTTATTGTATTTATAGATTGTATTACAAGAAAATATGATTGAAAAATTGATTTATAAATAGACGCGGACTTTTTGAGCAAATCCAATATACAAATGCAAATAGTCTAAAAGATTTCGTCAAATGTATAGAGAAAGTAAAATCGTGAAAAGGACGAAATCGAAATAATGATAAAACGTCGTTTAAAATATATCGTTGATAACACATCCGTTCTCCAAGTTCGTCTTGTCAATTCATAATATTTGCGTATGAATGAGTCTACGGGGAGCCCCAGGAGGAAAAGGCACCACGTAAATCTCTCAGCGGGCACCCAATGTCTCCGATATTATCTTCGAGAAAGAACGCAGCAGCCACCTTTTAAAAAAACCTCAGCATCGCGTGCACCCCACGTCGTTTGTTGGAGGATCTCTTCTCAAGAAAGCTCCCTCTCTTCTTCTTTCTACTTCTCCTTTCACCTCCCCCGTCAATTTTATTCACAGGATCCTAATATATCCGCGAACTTGACATATATCGTGTCTTTTATTGTCCTTGTCAAAAAAAAAAAAAAAAACTTACGAATACCATTTCGCGTTCATATGACGTGCCAATTTTTTCCTCAAGAATATCTTTTTTTTGAAATTCCCACGAAGGATCTGCCATAATTAATAGATCATATATATATAGATAGGTCGTATCTCGAACAACCAACCGCATAATTTTCTATCATTTCGATTATTATTATTATTATTACTACTACTACTATTATTATATTCCATCGTACAAAAGAGGACTCGAGTTTCGATACTAGTTTTTGTCTCGTTTATATTTTCTTTTCTTTTTTATTTATTTTACTGTTATTTTTGTTCTGCTACAATCTGTTAATAATCCTTGACAATCTTTTATTTAGTATTGTACCCTCCACTCATATATATCTCGAGAACGTTCGATCTCTATTCACATTGTTAATCTAAATTCGTTTGATATAGAAAAAACTATTCCGGACTATTATCGCTCATACTTACCCATAACTACTATGGACGCATACTATCTCATAAGAAGTTATGGGTCCTCAAGTCTTACAGTATTATTATGTAGTTATATTTTTGTAATTAATTATTAATTATTTTTAAATATATATATAGTTATATGTTCGGAAAAATGAAAACCATATACTATTCTAAAAATACGGTAAAATGAACGCGACCTCTTTAGTTATAGGTATGAGAAAGTATTTGTAAAGGAGTAACTTTAACCCATAAAAGGTAAAGTAAAATGATACAAACCCAATTAACTAATTAAGTTATATTATAAGTATTACATTAATTATTAACAATATTTGTGTGTAATATCCTATCTTATTTACGAATTTAATAGATTAACCAATTTATTTTATTTCTTACAATTGTCTCTCTTTTAATATCTCTCACATGCATATATTATATGTACGTATATACGACATACCTTCGAGCAAACGCTTCGACAGGATCCGGCAGCCAGCGAACAGCAGGACATCTCTGTAAAAAAGAAAAAAAAAAATAAGATGCAATCAGATTCTTTCCTTTAGTATTCCTTTCCTTTTCTTTCCTTTCCTTTTAATATTTCTTTCTTTTTCTCTCTATCAATAGAGAATTCTCAAAGAGAGGACACATGGAAGGTAAAAAGTCCACTCGACGAAAAGATAGGCGTCGTAAGTAAGGATCCTTTTTTTTATTTTCCATCTGACACGAAACAGACGCGTGTCCTGCGTTACGTCAGAATAAAAAAGAAAGAAAAACAAAAAAAATGAGAGAAAGAGAAAACTAGAAAGAAGACACCGTTTCTCATGATAGACAAGAAATAAGGAACACTTTTCTTGTCAAAACGTAAGGATCTTTTCAAAGGGGCCCCACACACAGGATGCGTCATTTTCATTTAAAATAGAAAAACAAATACATCAGAGGGAATTCGAAAATTTTCGAAATATTTTCTCCCTCGTGATTTTAAATATCTCTTTTCAAGTTTATAATTGTTTCTCTTTTTATATTATTAATTTACAAATTATTTATTATTAAAATTGCAATATATATATTTATATATGTTATCATTAAAGCGTGAAATTTAGTTATTACACATGCAATAACTAAGTATATATTTCATTTACATATTCATAGTTTTCGAAGAAGACTTATGAGAAGGTCTAAGTATAGGCAGATATTGAAACAAAATCAAAGAATATATATATTAAAAAAAAAAAAAATAAATAAAAAAGAATAATTATATTTAACATCAAATCTCAATTTATCCTTTAATTAATCGCATCTGAAGTAAATTCATAGAATAAATAATTAAAGTATATAATTCTGACTTATATGTTATATACATTTTAACTGGTAACTTTAATTATTCTATAGATCATATAAATATTTATATCAGTTATATATAATATGTTATATAAATATATATTTATATAATATATATATTATGTTATTTTATTTGAGTCAATCAATTAACTAAAAATCGATTTTCTAACTCTCTCCTCAATCCCACATCTTTTTCCCCTAAATCTTCTATTATTTAATAACCTAGGGGAGCCGCCGCGTTTCTCACGTAGTAACGATCGAGGAGGATTCGAATTCGAAACTCCGTGACACGATCTACCTTGAAAGTACGTCGCCGCTTTTTATGCACATCAATCGTCTTTAACATGAGCTTCTTATGACGAAATTGTTCGATTCCTTTGAAAATTTGAAGCCACGTCGACCGTATCGTTTTCTATTGATTTTCTTTCTCTCTCCTTTTCTTACTTTCTTTTTTTTTTTACACTTTTCTTCATTTTTCTTATCATACCTTTTCATATCCAATCTCTTCCTTTCTTCCCTAACAGATCATTCCCACGGTGTATTACTTCGTAGGATAAAATAAAACGATTATGCAAGAACGAAATCAATCACGAATATAGCCATTGCACAATCGGTTATCCAAGTTCTTAATGGTAAGTGTCAAAAAAATACTATAATATCGTTAGATCGTGTAATATCAATCGGTGATAGCTATTACATAACATTACTTTCCATCTAATCGTCCTATCAATCGATCAAGAATAATATTGAAGAAATTTAGAAGAGCGTAGTTAGACGAATATGATGCGGGTAGGCGTATAACGGAAATTTGAAAAAATTGTATTTCTTAAAGGCAAACTAAAGAGAGTCAGGCCCGCAGTATAACTTATATTAGTACACATTTATATATGTATGTATGTATATATATATATAAGTATTATAAGAGATGCACGCGTACATGACGGACGTAGCAAACAATACCCACGACGTGTTGCAATTGAGCCAATAGATACCAATTAGACGCAAATTATGAAAGAAGAGCGGCCATCTTCGTTCGAAGAAAAAAATGAGAAGAAGAAGAAGAAGAGGTTGGCTTTTTAGCTTCGGACATACAGCACACTCTCGACGCTTTAAGTTTCGTTCTCGTTCGACGATAAATATTGCTCTCTTTTTTGTTTCTCTCCCTCTCTTTTTCTCTTGAGAACCTGTTTCACTAATATAAACTTATTTGCCTTTCTTATTTCTGCTCTATTTTTAACGCGATATGCGACAATAACGTTCTTGAATATATTTATATAAACGAGGTCGTGACAAATATTATTTGTTCTTTTTTTAATTTTAGTTTCTTTTTTTTACTATTTATGGCACGTATCGAATAAAAAAGGAAACAAATATTTTCATTAAAATATATCACCTGACACAAAATAAAAATAAAAATAAAAATAAAAATAAAAATAAATGTTTTCGCTATTGATCGAAATATTTGAAAGTAATGGGCGTATGTTGCGTGTTAAAATAAAATCAATATGAAAAATATCAAAATATAATTAGGAAGGTTATTATTATAAGATAAATAAATAAATTTTTGTTTTGAACCCATTTGATTCAGATTATCTATTATGAACTATATGTCTCGAAAAAACATCGGCATCGTGAAATTCTTCATCAGAGAAGAGTGGGCTACGCCAAACGCGACGTTTCGTGGCTCCGTTTGCGGACGACACAAAAATAGCCGACGTCGTTCGCGGCCATCCGGCCTTTTGCCCCCTCGATTTAAACTACTGTGAGGACTCCTTAATTTTGTCGCCGTTCGGCATAACTCTGATATACTTGCACACAATGATAATATATTCGATAGATTTATTTTTTTTCTTTCTTTTTTTTTTTTTTTACAAATTCGAATACCCAGCAATAAAAACGATGATGTCAACGTAAAGAAACGATAATTAATAATAAAAGGGTAGAAAAGAAGACGATTGTGTCAATTGAAATAATAAATAGCAATGCAATTGATCGACATGCTATTTTCTCTCTTTCAAAATTCCACGAACGAAAGCGGAGAGAGGACAATTTTAAAATGCCATTAGCGTCTCCTTGTCTATCGTGAAAGTCTTACCACTTCTTTGAACGTGCCATAGACGAATTCCATTGCGACGAATGAGGACGGCAATGTTTCTTTTAACAATTTATAATCATCGCTTGAATTTTATTTTACCTTTGGTAAAATAAAAAAAATAAAGAAACAAAACAAATACACATTCTGCAAGTCGAGATTTTTCAATTTCCGTATGCATATAAATACATATGTGCCGATAATGACGATACACTTGCGGATATATTTTCAATCGATTTTATTTTACAAATTAAAAATATCACAAATGGAATAAAGAAAAGTATTTTTAATATTTTATATTCGTCTTTTTACTCTTTTTTTTATACGGGTTCCAGACACTTCTCTATGAACACTTTATCCCTATCCATTTACTAGCAAAGAGGATGCATCTAGACAAATTTTATAAAAATATTTTATAATTATTCATATTTTATAAAGTAAATTATAAAATACTTTTTGTTGTCAATTTGTTGACTTTATTCACTGTTATAATTATCGACAAATATGTATATGTTACGTAAGACTATGTAAACAATTACATTGACATGAAACATGAACTCATACGCAGATGTTACTTACTTTCGCTATGCTATCTTTCCCTTAATGCGTCGAGAGATGTGCACGTTAATGTCGACGTCATCCAAATCGTAAAACCCATGCGATTCTCCCACGCCATGAGATTACGAGAGTCTCGTAGCAGATGTAAGTAAATAAGTAAGTAAGTAAGTAAGTAAGTAAGCATGTATATATATCAAAATTATACGAGAAGTTCGTAACTTCGCGATGATTATTCTTCATTAATTATGGGCTCATACAAAAATTCAACATATGTTCAAAAATATATCACTTAAGTTTGTAATATATGCAGATAATTATAACAATGAATAAAGCAAATAAGTATTTTTTAATATTGATTTTATGATTTATTTTATATTCGAATTATTGTGATATCATAAAATACATCATAAATTTCATTGTTTCAATTTTTATTGACTTATTGTTAGTCAACTGTCATAATTACCGACGCATATAATACGCGTCAGAGAAATAAAAATCCTTAGTATTAGAAATTAGTACAAAAAAGATGAGAAAAGATAGAATTAGATTCATCAAATTTAAATTATCGTAAAAATACAGAACACAAAAATTGTAACCATTTTCTATGATTTACACAACAACGACAATCATAAATATCTCGTCTAAATGAAACAATTTTTCGTTCTAATAAGAATGAAATTATCTTAAACTTTCAAATTATGTGCCAATTTGTAGAAACGTGACTATTGAGAAAGTTTTAATTCGATAACACAGGAAGTTCGTTATTAAGTCGGTATCAGAAGAATTAATACATCATAAAACTCAATTAATTACAACAAAAAGAAAAAAAAAATGAGGAAAGAAAAAAGCAGATTAGTAAGAAACGAACCGTTAAATCATTTTCTTGGGAGCACGCGACCTTGCGATTAAAAGTACTTTCACGGTCATTTAACATAAAGATCGTATATACAGTGTGAGTTTTCATCGGCACATCACACTTTACATCCTCAAAAACATGATCCTATTACCGATCATTTACTTTAAACGAATCGGAAAGAAGATTTCTATACATTCATCTTAGAAATACATATGTATGTGGTGGTATATGCATTTATATGTATAAGTATATATCGAACAAATTAGTCGATAGGAGAAGAAACGAAACACTTTGAAAGAGTGTTTGAGCAGTCTCGCGAATCATCCTCGATATATTGAACATAATTAGAGTGTATCGATCAACATCCGTGATTCCAAAACACCAACTTGTTCTAATTTCATACAAGGAAAGCTCAAAATCGATAACATTGATCCAAATTAGCTCAAGTAAATGGAAAGAGTTAATGTTATGTTCACAAGTTAGTTTATTAAAAATATAGGAAACGTGCAATATTCCTTTTTTTTTAATATTAAGCATACAAATCGAAAGTGCAATTAAACAAGACTACTTTCAAGTATCGCGATAACGGCGCGTGAAAATCACTATGATCGTTCCCGTTCAAGTATTACCTGACAACCCATGATTACTCCTCCGCTACTTTTATGTGCTCTTTTACCACAAACGTTGAAGATAGAATAACGATTAAAGTGTCAACCTCGTAGAATATCTCAGGTAGTATCCTTTTTTGAGATTTATGAATTTGTTGCAATCGTGAGATCGAAATTTTATATATTTTTACTACAACGTAGGAAGATTTACGAATTTTTATCTTCGAAGTAGGTTAGTTAAAAACTGATTGTTTTGATGTAAGAAATTTAACGAAAGTAAGCATATATATTTGAACCCCTAAAAGAAATGAATTTAAGAATTAGACTGAAAACTTTTTAACCCACTCATGTATATGTTTTGATAGACACAGTACTACTTGCATCTTGTACTTTTATACGTGTTACAAAAGGAATTTTTATTTTATTTTCATACAGGACAAGAGATAATCGTACACAGAATCGTTGATGATAAAATTAAATATTAATAAGCAAATGCAAATAAATTAATCAGTTTCATAGTACATATGCACTATGCTGCCTCTTTATATATACATGAAAATATTTCAAGAAGGAAGTGTATTTAATAAGAGCAATTAAACAAGCTTACTTTCTATTTACTACTGAACTTCTATTCTCGAATAATTTATTCGTAATAAATCAAATAAATGTGTATTTATGCGTGTGTGAATATGTATAAAATACTAAGTAATAAACGAGGGGGTGCTTAAGATATAAGATAATAATTAGATAAGAGAAAAATAATGAAGTATTCCTTTAATTATTTCACGAAATCAATAAGATTAATTATTCGACGAAAGACCGATAGCTACTAAACAAGAGTTGTATTGTATCCAGAAATATATACGAAAATAATTCTTGATGAACTCACGGCCGCACACACTTATATACATATCTTAGAAATAAAAATGAAAACAAAAAAATTAGTTCAAACGAGGGAAGTTAATAGCATTATTTAAGATGCAATGGAATAACCGTAAAGTTTTCGCTTTTATCGTTCTGAGAAGAAAAATATTTGTAATCAATGAAGACACAAGAGTTCGGAGAGGGAGAAGAGAGAAAGGAAATGGTAAAAAGAAAGAGAGAGAGAGAGAGAGAGAGAGAGAGTGCGTGTAAGAGAAACGTGACGCGTTATCACCTTCCTCTTATTTTTCTTATTCTTATTTTTATTCTTATTCTTGTTCTTCTTCGGAAGGAAGGAAGGAAGGAAGGAAAGAAAAGAGAAAGAGATAAAAAAAAAAAAAAGGAGAATAAAAAGTAAAAGAAAGAGAGAAAGACGACTCTTTCTCGCGTGCGGTTATACTTATACGAGAATATATACGGCTGCCAATGGTTCTGCTTATATTTCTCTTTCCTCTTATTGCACGACTGTCCTTATAGTCCAAGCAAAAGGCAGAGGCGAAGGACCGTTAGCGACACCTCGTTCACACGCACGTGCACCATGTAAATTTCAGGAAAGATTTAAAGGCGAAAAGACTAAGCGAGAAGCAAAAAGAAAAGAAAAAAGGATTATCTTTACTTTTACTCTTTAATTTTTAAATCGAACCATCTCTCTTAGATTAAAATATAAGATTATTGAAATTTTGATTTCGAATTTTACACTAATTAAAAACAATTAAATACTATATGTGTTCAAATATTATACTGGGGAAGACAAAATTTAATCGATTAACTTTGGTAATATTCATTTGTTTTGACAATATTTGCGGAAGTTTGAAAAATGACATATCATAGAGTAATTAAACATGAAAAAATTGCTATATTTGTTTAAACGTTTCGCTTCGATATCTTATATTAATATCAGTTGAGTATTCCTTACTTCCGTATAACATCCGCAGACCTACATCGCTACTTACTCTTGAATTTTTTTTATAGAATTATCTTTGGTTAAGATAAAAGATAAATGAAAATGTTTATCTAAATTGTATGAAAATTAAAAACAATTTATCTGTCAAAGTATTGAAAATCTAAATTAGGAGAATGTCTACATGGGTAACTAAAAAAGCAAACTAATCCTTTAGAATTCAAGCAAAATTTTAAGAAAAATTTCAAGGAAAAGAGAATAATACAAGAAGAGAATCTCATTGTTTATTTTTTACTTTTAAAATGGAATCACTTTCGATCTTAATTAAAAACAACTAATTATTTATCGAAATGTCGAAAATCTAGACAATGAGGGTATATGAATATTTATATGGGAAAAAGAAGAAGAAGAAGAAGAATGCAATCTGGTCATTTGGAATTCGAACATCGTACGAGAGAGAGAGAGAGAGAGAGAGAGAGAGAAACGAGAAGACATTAAAATCACTATGAAAATCTTTGTCAAGTCGGAACGCGTGAGAAAGAATGACGGTGTGTGATATGAGAAAGAGAGAAAGATGGAGAAAAAGAGAGAGAGAGAGAGAGAGAAAAAGAGAAAGAGAAAGAAGGAGAAAGAGAGAATGGGAGAGGCGACACATGTGGCGGGAAGTCGTAGTTGATATCTTCTTACCATGATGACGAAGAAAAGGAACGAGAAGAGATGAGTTTAGTGAATCTGTCGCGAAGAACTCTTATTTTGACATAATAACGAAAACTTTTTTCCAAAATTTCTAAAAATAATCCTCTCTCTCTCTCTCTCTCTCCCTCTCTCTATATATATATATATTACTTCATTAAGAAAAAAAAAGAATATTAAACCTTCCCATTTTTATAGTTGCATATTAAATTCGATTATAACGTTGATACTTAATTATAATACTTAAACTTATCTTATTATTAAAATATCAACAAGAAATTTCGTAATGAGAAATCTGTCGACGAAACGATAACCTCACGTTACGAGTCAATCAATTTTAATATCTTTCCCGGCAATAAAAAAAAAAAGGAAGGATGAATTACCTTGAACAACATCGAAGAAGGGATTGGCAATGACGATGACAGGGAGAATGATCACAAGTGCTTTTATTGCCAGCATCGTTGTATGCCGCTCGAGGAAAGTCTTTCGTGCTCCTAACCACCTTTTATTTCTCTTTTCTTCACCTCATCGCGTGCGAAATCATTCGAACGAAAAGGAAAAAGGATTCGGAGAGTAGGTAAAAAAAAAATATATAAGAAGAAGAGAAAAGAACGCGAGAGAAGGGAGAAAATAAATAATAAAAAAAAAAGAATAAAAATTAACAGAAAAAGCACACACAAGAACAACGAAAAAAGACGAAAAGAAATTAAGAAAAAAAAAAAAGGATAAAAATGTGAATTTCACATGTCAGGGCAGTATTAGCGGTGGGGGAGGGGCAGGGGGAGGAAAAATGTCATTTGCCAAAAAAGTCAGAGAAATAAGAAAATGGAAAAAGAAGAGAGACAGACAGACAGACAGACAGACAGATAGACAGAGAGAGAGAGAGAGAGAGAGAGAGAAAGAAAGAGAGGAAGGACTCGCGTAAAATCAATCTCGAACTGTACTCGAGCACGGCCCGTGAACGACTAAGCTTTTCCTGCCACTTGAGTTCACAAGAGAGGAGCACAAGCTTTTTACCGAACGGACCGAAGAGACCACGACGACTACTATACTACTATACTAACACGAGGGAAAGAACCAATGCGTAGGTGGAGAGGGAGAAGACGAGCGCGTGGCACGATGTCACGCAGTGCAACCACTATTGTGTGACGTCTTTCGATATATTCATAAGATAGTAGGAACCCTTACTTTTTCTATTTCTCCCTTTTCATAACACGTCCACCATTACACATATATACACACACATTTTTGTTCTATTTTATTATATTAAATATTAGATAGACGTACTTATAATTCAGTTTCATTACACCCGTTTAATGCTTTCTATATTTCACATTCGAGAAAAGAAAAAGAGAATATTATTTTCTTGAATCTAACGCGTTTATCGAAAATATTATTGGTATCTTTGAAAATAGTTATATTTTTTATGAATTTATTTGATAAACATTTTTTAAACACACACACACACAGTCAATTTATTTAAATGATATTTAATATATTTGATATTATATATCGATAATATTTATATTTCTTATGTCCGATTAGTGATTGTAATTTTAAATTCGATTTTATTGAAAATATTATTACCTCTATAAAAACAGTAATATTTTTTTCAAAATTTATCGTGGAGAAGTTTCTCGGTCATTCATCCCCAATTAGAATTTTTATTATATATAATTTATATTATTTAATTATTGTAATAATTAATTATGCATAAGAAATTAACAAATCGAAAATCATTTGAACGATTTATTTGTGGAAAGTGACGCAAGTCTTTATTTGAAATAATCATTTTTTAATAATCAATTTGGATTTACACCACTTTCAAAGTAAATGGCTCATTTTTTAACGTATTAAATCGTAGAAAAATCTCAAGAGATTCATAGAACGATACTTATAAAATATTCAAAACTTTTTCCCCAACTCGATTAAAACTTGAAAATTTATATCCTCTTATCTTTTAGTCTTTGGTGTCAATTGGATCGGAAAAATGTTCGACAATAAGAAGTATGAGAAAATTTTCAACTAGCTATAGAAACTGAAGAAATAATAAATATGGAAATACTTTTCGGGTTTTACGATCTCTTAAAAAAACATGCCTGGAACATCTCAACTGAAGACGACGAAGATCCAGCATAACTTTGTAAAGCCCTGCATTCCCATCCCTTCCCTTCCCTTCGCTTCGCTTCGCTTCGTTTCTTTTTCAAATATATATTTCAACCTATGACACTTTTCAAAAGAAAAAAAAAATTTAAGTCAAAAGATAGAGAAGAAAAGTGGATAGTTCGTGACCGTAGTTCCGTTGATAACGATTAGATATAAACGACACGAAAGATGAATTTATTTATTATCGTAAAAGAGGAATGCTTATTAGAGTTAACGTCAAATCATTCGAAATAATCTAGCAACAGAAACTCTTAGAACAAGGATCGATCGGTCCATCGTGATCGATTCTTCGAACGTTCATAATTTATTAATTTATTCTCTATATAAATCGCCCTCAATCTGCACGTGGGCAGTATATACTAACCGGTCCTTCGATTTTCTCTTTCATTACTATATCTCTTTCTCTCTTTCTCTTATTTTTTTTTTACGTTTCTTTCAACAGAGACAACATCGTTACTGCTTTACCCGTATTCCACGATCATTTTCTATGTTAATAATAATAAAAAATCATACGCGTGTGTACATATATATATATATATATATAATCAGAGAATATTCTTGAGAAACATATCCTGTAACGCAAAGATCCATTTACCATGGTTGTTGTTAAACGCACATCGTACCCTATCGTTCAGCGTAACATTCTTATTATCCCTCGACCACCTACGCGATCTTAAAGAATAATAATATCGACGAATACGTTCGAGAATATCTTCTTAACTTTCACGACACACCAGTTGAACAGAGTCTTCATATGTAAATTACTTTTTCCTTTGGTATCATGCTACACAAATAATAATAATAATAATAATAAATACCAAAATAAGATTACCTTTTTTGTAAGATAATTGTGATATGTATTACATGTTTACAAGATAAGTATTTAAAAATGTATTTACAAGATATTACATTTAAAATCTCATAGAAACAGATTAATCGTCATTAAAACATTATATCTGAAAATCAATTTCAGATTCGAGGATTAACTATCAATAATCTTATGTTCCCACAATAAGAATGAGAGAGAGAGAGAAAGAGAGAGTCACTTAATGTAAAACTATCTCCTGAACAGAAGGAATCGATGGACTGATCGGCTTCTTGCCTAGAATACCTTCGACACGTCCGCTATGTTAATGATACGAGCACACATAAATATTCAAACCCTTCTCTCGATCAGCAGAGTGAGCTTGGCACCGTCTCCTTATCTGGCGACATCTGATATCACCTGTATACCAGCTCCTATAAGTCATTAACAAACAATAACGACGTAAGAATAAATCTTTACGAAAGGATCATCGACGTTATCGATCTTTCTTTTTTTTTTTTTCATAACTTTTTCTTAATTTCTTGTTTGTCATTTTAATATCCAAGAATTAAACAAAAAGTTAAGAAATTAAACAGTATGTAAACATATGCATATAAATAAAAAGAAAAATTGTCGTGGTTTAAAAAAAACATTTTAATGTTAAACCCCCTGTTCTCCCTTCGTCATCGTCAAGTACTTCTTGTACTACTCCTACCGGTTTTTAATATCTAACGTCAACATGCGATCACTCATAAAGATCATTATTTCCATAAGATGATATATCAAACGAGATCATTTACAAAACGAGAATATTGATAAGATTATGGTTTGATTATTTACGAGCACTAAAACAACAAAATTGCATAGATATTCATTTTTCAACCTGATTGTAGGTAGTTATTAAATATTCAACAACACGTTGAAATTATTATTAATAAAAGTATCGCGATGGAAAATGTCGACATAATTCGAAAAATTTGCTTTCAAAATATTCAATGCGTTTAATTTTTAAGAAATCATTTTGAAATGTTATATATTATATCTATCTGTTTAAAAATGTAATATAGGTATAATAATTATATATAATTAAAGACAAAAAAGATAATACATTCTGAATACGTAATGAAGTATGCAGTTAATTAGCTCGATATTAATTGGATCAAATGATTTATATTTAGATAGATTACAAGTAATACCGATTGCCCCGGATCTTACAGCATGTGGAGATTTACAAACTAAGATAACATACTAATTAGTCGCGTCTAATGAAATTTTCTTCGTCCCGGTCAAAGAAAATGGTAGATGCATCAATCATGACATATCCGTGAGAAACGGACTTTAATTTAATATAAGTTTCATTAAAATCTATTCACTTTTAGTATAAATAATATTTATCAAAACTTTTTATTATGTTCGATGCCTAGGAAAAACTTGAAGAATTTTTCAATTTCCTACTTCGTCTGAAGGCTCTTTGCATTCATAGTAATGCCGAGGAATTACTAGCAATAACTGATTTCCGGCTTTGACGGTAACATATATATCTGATACGTATGAATATAGTGCTGACCTACATAAATTCTTGGAGGAGAGTCCAGGATTTTTATTCCAATACATGTTTAGAGATAATGTATTTCTAAAAAGAAATAAAAACATACAGATACATAAAATAGACAATATTCTTCCTCCTTGTTCGTCGCATTTATTATATACACGTGGGCGCATACAAATGAATTATTAGTAACATTTATATAAAATTGTTTTAAACATTAAATATTCAATTTTAACACAAAAACCCCAAACTAATACATGACAGATATTTTTACTTTAATAATTTGTAATATATATATATAAAGAGGAAATTTTTATAAAGTTTCATCTTCTCATTGATCAGAATAAATATCTTCTCATTGTCAATCGGAAATACTAATAGTCCTCATATTATAATAGTGGGAGGAAAATAGTTCATTCGTAGTGGCTACTTAACCAATTGTGATGCTTGATCTATCCATTAATGAAGCATTAATGAAAGACTTCTCGGACCTTTCTCGATCTCATCTATTATGATGTAGACCGTGTAACCGAATTCCTCGTAAGGATAAAAATGATAGAAAGAAAAGAGAGAGATAGAGTGAGAGAGAGAGAGAGAGAGAGAGAGAGAGAGAAAGAGAGAAAGACCGAAAAGAATAAAAAAAAACAAATTCCCAGTGCCACCCGTCGCGCGAGCTCATCTGCAATTTGTTTTCCATGCGTAGGATACCGAACGTTCCGAGGTATCTATATATTTACTTGATACACCCTCTTCGTACGTCGAAAAGAGAGCGAGAGAGATGGTAGACGAAGTAACGAAGTAAAAGGAAAAAATAGTTCCGTGAACCGCGTCGTATCCTCTGCCAATCGTCGGCTGCATGTCAATGAGTCGCGACCGACGAAAGGGAAGAGAAAGAAAGAAAGAAAGAAAGCGAGAAGAGAAATGAAGAAGAGTAGGAGGATAAGAAGGAGTAAACGCATTTGTTGCTCTTCGTTCTTTGGCAGCAAAAGAAACAAACCGTGAGAAAAGGAATTTCTTAAGAGAATTTGTTGCACGTTCTAAGGACTCCCATCTACGAACGAACGTCAGGACACGTCTTATCTACATTCGTATTGTCGATACTTTTTCTCTCTTTATCTTTTATTGTGTTAGTCGTTCGTGGAAAGGTGTATAGTACATCGACGTATGTAGAATCTCATAAAAGATGTCGTTGAATGCAACTCACGCTGTCTAGTGCAATTTGGATAATGCATGTCGCGCGTTCCTTCCTACCTCACGCCGACTTATCATTATGGAAAACTCGCTCACGATACGAACGAGTGAAATTAACAGAGTTATATACCGATCGTCGATAAACATACAAAGAAAGTAGGAAAAATCTTAAAAAAAAAAAATAGAACATTACGATCCAAAGACCGAAAAAGTGAAATAAATGACGACATCGTATCAAGTGTTGAATTTATTGAACATTACGTTGAGATAAATATAACGTTTCAATGAGTAATATATTTTTCTGTTTTCAATGCGTTCTTTTAAAATTCGCTTTTAAAATTTCAAAAGATATACCAAGCTTCCTCCCAATTCGTCCCTTTTCGTTAATAATTTGTAATAAGAGAAAGACCACGGTTAGGTCGTTATCCAATCAGAGACGAATGTGCCGGGAAAAAAGACTAGCAGCGCCCCCAATGTAAGTACGTTTCACCAATGACATACACAGAAATCCCTCCTCGATAGAAAATAAAAAGAGAGAGAAATAGTGAAAGAGTGAGTGAGAGAAGGAAAAGGAAAAACAAAAAGAAGGAAGCAGGAAGGTAGATACTAAGGATGACTAACGAGTGAGCCATAGATGGCGCGAGAGAGAGGGAATAAAAGAAAGCTGTTGAGTCCGTGAGAAAGAAAGAAAGAAAAAGGTGGCGGGAGAGAAAGAGATGGAGAAAAAGACCGCGTCAGCGAGGTAAAACGTCATCGAAGTCACTCCGACGTCACCGTATCGCCGCGCGTTGTCGTTGTCGCAGGAGACGCCTCACAATAGGCAACTCGTACGACAGTCTCGTGCGAAGTGTCACGGAAACGAACAACACGATTCTTCTTCCTATCCGTTTCTATAATTTTCTCTCTTTCTCTCTCTCTCTTTCTCTTTCATACTCTGCTTTTTCTCTCAGCGCACGATCGCGAAAAAATTGTACAATAGGAAGTGGAAACGCACGAGGACTTTCAGGTGGCCTTTGGGAGAAGCGCATCGATCCGCGACTGACTGCACTAACTGCAGCAACACGGACGATACAATGTGAGCGGATAAATGCTCCCGTCGATAATTGCGGCCGATAGTTGAGAGTCGAAAAAGAACTCGCGAGTGTACTCGTTTGATTGTGTCGTCGTCGTTGTTATTGAAAAAGTAGCAGTACTTTCTAAATGGGTCAAGTCGAGCCGGCGACACGATATGCAAGAAACATTGCCACCACGAATCACTGCCTGGCCTAGTTTCTTCTTCCTCCTCCAGCATCATCGACACACAACCACTACCACACCGACTACTACTACTACTACTACCACCACTTTCAACCTCAACTCTACCACCTCCTTCACCTCGTTCTCGAGGGCAAACGAATAAAAGGTGTGAGGGATAACGGTGGTATTTCACGCGACTAGTGAACGTTGCCAGTGACTCCATTTACAAAGTAGTCTCGTCTCTTGACTATTTTCCTCGTTGTCATTGTCATCATCGTCGTTATCGCGTAGCCATGGATGACCGTTCTCCGCGATTCGTGCCTTTCGGCTAACGGGAGTGCATCAATCACTACTACTACTACTATTCGTTAACGAATAAAGCCGAGGTTATCATTACCTAGGTGAGAAAGACTCACCTTACAACTATTTCTCGAAATAATGATCTTCTTGATCTTCATCCGCGTTCTCTTCTTATTTCTATATGGAACAACAACCAACATCTTCCTTTTTTTCTAAAATTACGAACGTTTTATGTATATATGTATACACTTATATATAAATGTATTTATCTATATGTGTGTATGTAAGCGCGCACATGACGTGCACGCATTCACCATTCGTGCACCCTTCATTATTTACAACAATACGGATGAAGAACACCGTTGCATCCCAATAGCTATCTTTTAAATGAAATGGATATTAAATTAAATTAACATATCCCAAAGGACTGTGACTGATGTATTTACATGTAACTCCAAGAATGGTCAATATTTTGAAGGGAGAGCTGTTTTTTTTATGTTTATTTGTACAAAAATTATCGTCGTCTCTGGAAATTTCATCGTCTCGTATCGACGCGCAACCCTCCGTTGAAATATCGATTTTGCCGAGAAACGATTGGAAAGATTATCTCTCGCTTTGTCGAATCAATTACGCGCTTCTCTCTTGTCTCTTTCTCGAATTTATCGAAATCTAACGTCGATATTTTAAAATAATATAGAAAAGGTCTATGCAACATAGTGTTAGTGTAAACATTCTGTGCGAGGTCTCGCGTTAAATGTGTATCTAAAAAAAGGATGCAACATTGTCCTTGATGCTTTTACTTGCAATGAAATAACACTTGCAGTATCGATCTTACCATCGCGGCATCTTCGTGAGAACTTTCTCTCTCGTGTATGTATACATTCACGCGATCGTTACATTTATCCTTTCCCTTTCTTTTTTCAAGTATTTCTTATTGAGATATCGATGTTTATAAAAATCAACAAATAGATGACCCATTTACATGGAGAATTTCATTGAATTTATTTCATTATTTCTTTTAACAGAAGGTCGTAAAGTTTCGTTAATTCGTCAAAAATGGCTACAAACAAACCACCGGAGATGAATTACACGTGCGAGATTTGTGGATTGGAGGGTCTCAATGACGAAGAAATGAGATTGCACATGGTTTCATATCATGTAAAAGGAGCTGTCAATTGTCCTTTCTGCGATCTCGACGATATGTCGAATGCGGAAATGCTAATTCACATAAATATCGCACACTTGGAATATTTAACACCAAGGTACGTTTAATTAAATGATGATAAAAGTACAAAAGCTAGCTTAATGCATAATATATGCGTGGCGTGCGTATGCATACGCATATGTGTAGTTAACATTTTATGCAAGGCGCGGGAAATAATTTGTAAAGAATACAGTAGATGTCGCTAATATAACAATAAGAAAATTCGTTGATTACGAGTTTGTTTAATTTAAATGAAAGCTGATAAATTCGAGTCAGCTTTTTTTTTTTATTTTGTTAAAAGTATTCACTGAAATATTAAACGATAACAATTAGTAATTAGCAGCATTATGAATTGTTTAAACGTGTAACAACATTGTGTGTTATTTATTGTATTTTACTATTTGCATAAAAAAACTAACAAAATTAAAATGGCAACAAAAAGAAAACGGTATGAATTGTATAAAATGTTTACAATTAGATTATTAAAACTAATTAATGATAATTATTGATTATTCTAATCATTAAAGTACTCCAGAAAACGATATGCTGGCATTTATTGATGATGACTCCACCATGGAAGATCATAGACATGACGAATGCCGTGGCCCTTCTCCATCAATGTCTCTTAGGCCACCACATCTACAAAATGGATGGACTGCTTCTCACAGTTCTCGTATGCACCAACAACAACAATTACAGCAACAACAGAATTCTAAAACCCGTAAAGTGGATGTACTAACTGCTAGTTCCAATGTAAACAATAACAATAATAACAACGATAACAGCAATGCTAATAGCGGTATGCTTGACTGATATATGAATATATCGTTTAAGAGTTTCGATAAATTATAATATAATGTTAATATAATCATGATTTTTTTCTTATCCAAAATTTATTAATATTATTACTAAGTTTACTCTTAGGGAAGTTGTTTTTTGGACGGGTTTAATTAAGATGAACACTATATTTATCCGTTGAACGTTTCGTCTCTATTTGATATAATATAATCTTTTCAGTATTGGAAGGTTCAGCTGGTCATGGATCTCCATTACGCTCAGGCCTAAATCTTCAATTACGCTCACATGCTTCTTCAAAATTAGCTGTTCAAGAATGTCCAATGTGTCAATATACTTCAGATAGTCCGTTAAGATTGGAAGAGCATATCAATCGACAACATTTCGATCTCACTTCTCCATCTTTTCCACCTTCATCACCTCCAACTAAAGATGGAGTTTTCAACTGCCCCTTTTGTGTAATTTCGTTTCCTGATTCCTCTGATCTTGTGCTGCATGTTAATATCGAACACAAAGATATACTCAGGTAAATTTAAATTAACGATGAATATATAAGAAATATTTTGGCGCCTAATTTAATCGCAATAAACGACTAATGTTAATGAATTTATATTTATCAGCCCTGCAAATGGATCAGCCTTACAATCTGATCTGGCTACTGTTGGTAGTGATACACCTTCCTGTCCAGTTTGTTCAAGTACATCATTTAAAAATAATGATGACCTAACGTTACACGTAGAAGAACATTTTAACAAAAAAAGTACTCCATCTCCCATAACACCAGACCATTCGACAGATAGAATGTTGGCAAAGGATATGGAGAGGCGAGAAAAAGAAGTTAGAAAATTACGTGAGCAACGGGAATTTGAAATGTTAAGGGCACAATATGGAATGGACAATCAGGGTAATTTCAGAGAACAAAGTGTGACTAATATGCAACGAGCCGTCCTTGCAGGCGAAATGACGGTAGCAGATTTTTATGAAAGACAAACAGGATTAACAGTTGCTGAAAGCAGTGGTATCGATGATGGCAGTTCTTGTACACGTGGTAACATTTTTATCTCTACCTTAAAATAACAAAAATTATTATATCGAGTGATACATAGAACAATGTTGTTTATAGGGCTGGTTCCTAAAATACGAGCTGTTAGTCAAACATGTAGTAACGTAGTAAATACATGGATGTGTTCTACAGTGGATCATTATGCTTGTACTTATGGAGATAAAGGCTGGGGCTGCGGCTACAGGAATATGCAAATGTTGATTTCATCTCTTTTGCAGCATACTGGATACAATGAGTTAGTGTATAAAGCTTGGAGTTCTGGCCTTGATAGTGGGAGTTCCACCGACAATCCTTTGCGTAGTTCTATGCCTTCCATATCTAGGCTCCAAAAAATGATAGAATGGGCTTGGGCTCAAGGTTTTGATATTCAAGGTGCTGAGCAGCTTGGTGGTAAACTTACGAACACTAGGAAATGGATTGGTCTTACAGAAGTCTCAACTTTGTTATCCAGTCTAAGAATAAAGTACGTTCCATGATATTTCTTTATTCTGTTAATCCGTATAACATGAATTTATTATTTACAGATGTCAGCTAGTAGACTTCCATAGACCCACTAGTGCCGATGGAGGACATCCTGAAATGTTTAATTGGGTGTTACAATATTTCCAGAGATGTGACGACTTTAAACCTCCACTTTATCTGCAACATCAAGGTAATTATTAAAAGTAGTGGTATTATATGTACATATTATATATATATATATATAATTATTTGCTAAATTAAATATGTTTGAAGGTCATAGCAGAACAATAATTGGTGTAGAACGATTAAGAGATGGTTCCATAACAATGTTAGTATTAGATCCAAGTCACAGCCCATCTCAAATGGCACAATTTAATAGTACGAGTAGTGCTCCTGGAGCAATGCGACTTGTGCGTAAATCAACTGCTGCGATGAAAGCTAAACAGTATCAAATTGCTACTGTTACTAGTATTATGGATACAGAAGAATCTTATCAAGTAAGTTAATTTGATTTTTTTTAAATTAATAACATTAGTTATAACAAATTTACCACACACATTTGTTACAAAAATTATATAAATATGAATATTCTTAAATTACAATTTGCAGCAAAGTAAAGTATTATATTGGATGCGTGTTCCACAAGACAGCTGAGAATTGCTGGTCCAAATAAAAGCACAACAGTGCTCAAAGATAATAGACTGCCTCAAACCGTTCTTGTCCAGCATCCTTGAAATTACGTGACCGTAATGCTTTAGGTTTATCACTAGCATACTTGCCTCCATTATAGTAGCAGCAAAATGATTATGTAATTATATATTGTTGCATTTCTAGCATGAATAACGAACTGGCTCCTTGACACGTTGTGTGTTTTATGCGTGCGTCGCGGTCAACAATTTCAGAACAAAAATATCAAAATTTTGGTACAATTCGCTTATTAAATTTTTCAAGCACGAACAAAATTCTAATTCTTTACGGAATTACGGTGTTCCTTATAAATTATATTCTGATAAAAAATTATTACTACTGGAAGCACCACCCATTTATTGTCGTGTACAAGTAAAAAATGATATAAGACAATTCACTAATAAAACTATCAACAGATAGTTATAAATTCCATTGCCATTCCTTATTCAATATGTCTACTCAATTGTCGTCGTACTTAAACAGGCTGTGTTAACTTCGATCCGGCCAATCCTCCTATGGCGAACGATAATACCAATTGAAAAAGCGTCCTGGCAGAGCTTGGAAAAAAATACTTTTTCGTAGCTGTGATGCGGTTATTTAATGCTGATCGTTCGTCTATCATAAACATTTTTAGAGATGCTCCAATATCGATGTCAATGCATTATTGTCTTGTTATTTGTCTCTCTTTGTGTATGATATACATTTTCATGAAAATGCTGTCAATTTTCATTCGATATCGAATGCCAGTAGGTATATTCATGTATGTGTATGCATATTATACATATATATATATATACATACATAGATATGTACCTACCTACACAATACACACATATAAACAATATAATAACATTTTATATGACAAACAAAATTATTCTTGGACGTGTATTGATTAATAGCTTCTGTATAATTGGGAGCATCTAAAGAAATGTTTCTGTCCATATATCTATACCCTATATATTTACACACAAAAGACACTTGCACATTTTACATCACATTTCACTCAGTCACATATAAAGTACAACTACTTTCATACTAATTACAAATATTCTATTTAATTATTCAATTAACTTAAGACTAACCGTGCCCTAGCTCATAAGTCCAATGCAATGCTATGAATGAGAGAAAAACGAAACTACAGTCCATTTACTTGTTATTTATATTATATACTTAATCGTTACGTGAATTAGCAAATTCTTATTATTATTACTCTTATCATATTTCAGAAATTATACTGAGATATCACACATTAAAATCTATTTATTATAGTTACAATTTTAATGGTGACCATTATAAAAAAAATGGAAAATGACAATTTATCATGTTTAAAGGGTCACCGATTGTTTTATGGTTTCAATATTTATGATGCACCAGTCATATTTGTCTTTTGGCTCAATAGGACCACACGCAATAACTATGACTGACCGCAAACTACCAAAAATAATAATTATAAATATGTAACAGATTTTGCCATGAATTAATTAAGAATCTGTTCATTATTATGGAGTGTTCAGGGAAACCAAGCTGTGGAATTGTTATGCAAGAGTAAAAAAAAAACTTTCGCATTAACCACATGTCAAATTAAAATATATGCTTTGTTAGAATTCCCAAGCCCCATCTTACATTTTATTTCCAAGAACTTATAATAATATAAACTAAATTATAAAAGATAAATTTATTAGTTATATATTATATATTCTATATTGTTACAATTGTAATATAATTTTATATCATTTTATTTCCAACACAAGTGACCTCATATTGTTAAGTTTCCAATTTTTATTTATTTATCTAGTATTGTACAGTCAAGAACTTTTATGTTAGATTAAATTATCAGTTAAATTATTATAAAATTTTAACCATGGCAATATACAAAACACGATGTAGCTTGATCGAATATTAGCTTAGAAAGACCTCTTTTAGTTGAATATAACAAATCATTGTATTGAAAATAATTTATCAATCACTTTTGGTATATGTAAATAAAAATTGGTTGTATAAGAAATAAACGATATAGTTATTCATTGTATACATTTCATTGTTCCAATACTTTAATTTCGTTTCAACATATTATGAAATAACATTATTTTATGTTATATGATATGACAGATGCACAACATTAAAATAACACAAGCTATTTTTTATAAGTTTACAATTAGATTTTATTTGACAATAATTCTACATAATACTAACTTATTTACCAATAAAAATACGGAGAGAAAATTCTGTAATCACAGCATTTTTGTAATATTTTATGGAATCTAATTATAACGATGGTAATTACAAGATGTTATTAACTATTTGACGTATTATATATTAAATCCCATTGAACGCATACAACTTTTATGAGCCTCTATAAGATCTGTGCAACTTTCTTCTCCTCTTTCTATAATACTGCAAAAATCAAATGTTATTTGATATATATAAAATGAAAAGTTTAAATATATATATATATTTAACATTCATTTTATTCAAATTCTATACATCAAAGGCAGTACTATAATCTAATATACAAAATAAATTTATAATTATTATAACTTAGGAAAAAATGATTCTTTGAAACTTTTTCTTTTATTTAATTAAACATAACCTATTGATAATATAACCTTACATACCATGCATCTCTCGCCTTTTTTGTTTCTGGACAAGCACAGCAAGGCTTCAATTTTTTCTCTCCTTCTTGTTTTGTTTCTGCTTTCATTAGAGCATTACCCATTTTTATAAACAATAATTATCTTTAAAAAGCGTATAGAATGTAACGTCAAAGAATACAGAAGTGCCTAGAAACTCACAAGTCCCCTTTTTTATCTACCTAGCTTCATATTAGTTATTACCGGAACCACTAGTAGTCGATAGTAGGTACATTACTATCGAAGAATATATATATATAAAATTTTCATCTAATGAAACATAAGATCGAAATTAATTAATATTCAAAAAGTAGGATAATAGATATGTAATATTTAAAAGAATATATTACGAATTCGTAAGCAACATTATCAATTAAATATAAAGTGATATCTTATTAAAGAGCCTATTATCTATTCATTGAAACTATAATTTAAAAAAGAAACCTTCAAAGAAAATGTTATTCTAGGACTGTAAAGATGCAACGAATGTTGCATGAATCTCTTTTATAGATCGCAACTTAAATTTCAATATTTTTGGACTACTCCTCGGTATCTGTAAATACATAAAAGTTATTAAAAAACATTATAAAGTAATTAGTTTCTGTATATAAAATGAATAGAAGGAACCAAGGAAAGGAGTAAAGGAATATGATATCTCTCAATTAGGTAGTTATAAGAAACTAATTACAATTATAATGTTTATGGTAAGCGGTCTTTGGCTAGATTTTACTTGCAATGGAATGTATAACATATATAAAATATGTTAAACATTATACTGAAAGTAAAATACCATTGCCCAGGTCTAACCACGAGGAGGTAACCGCTTTTGAAGACCCGGGATGTGCATCCTGAAGATGTCCCCATCCGAATGAAATTGAAACCAAAGAAAATTATCACCCCGAGAACGTTTTTTAATGAGCCCCACTCTTAGGCCCAACCCTAAGAGTTTAATTCAAAGAATTCTTACAATTAATTACCATCGAAATTGAAGAGAAAAGTTTGAAAACTGAATGAGAAAATGAAAACGACGAGTGCATCTGAAAACAATTTAAGTTACATCAATGATTTTATTGAAAATTAATACACTTTAGTATAATTTCAATATATGCACATACGGAAATTACAAGTTAGGAATATTTTATAATTATTAATTTTCAATCTGCCTAAAATATAGTATAAGAAAAATAAATGTACATAATTTATGGTGCATATCTGTAAAAAAAAAAAGAAAAGAAAGTGCATTAAAAATAACTATCCTACATATGTGATGCTACCTAAAAAACAATAAAATAATTAGATTACTTCATTTATTTGTAAAAATAATTATTTCATACTAACATTTACCAAAACTCAGTCCTCTTCTTGTCATCTTTTAATCCATTTTCCTTTCATCTTGGACGATATGGTTACATAAAACAATAAACTAATTAGAAATATTCACACACATTTACTTATAGAAATAATTATTTTCTGCTACCATTTTAACCATAACTCTGTCCACTAATGATCATCTTCTAATCAATTTCCCCTTCTTCTTGGATGAAATGGTTATATGAAACAATAAACTGATTAAAAATATTCATCTACTCATAGAAATAATTATTTTCTGCTACCATTTACCATAATTCTGTCCACTTCTGGTCATCTTCTAATCAACTTCCCCTTCCTCTTAGACGAAATTGGTTCTACGAAACAATAAACTGATTAGAAAAGTTCATTTACTTATAAAAATAATTATATTCTACTACCRTTTACCATAACTTAGTCCTTTTTTGGTTCGTTTCCTCCTTCTCTTGGACGAAGTTTGGCATCCTAGTTCAGCCTGCTTAGATAATATTAAAAGGAATAGAAAAAGGATAGGGAAAAGTAGACTTTTAAGGTGGAACTTTTCACGATTTTTGTTTTAAGTGGTTTCCC